AATGAAAAGATTATTTAGTATTGAACGCATTAACAATTTTTAAAAAAAAACAATATAAAGTATCCAAGCCGTTATACAAAGGTGAGTGTAACAAGTGGATGATATCAAAAGGACAAAAGTTTTTTGACTACTCCTATTACATACTGATTACAAAAGTTCACTGCCATTAAAATTATAATCACTCTACATCTTATTCACATTTATATCCATCTTAATATAATAATAAACAATTGCCTTGTTTCCAAAATTATCAATATTCTCGAACGACAAATTTAAGGAGTGCAAAGGTTACCATGAAACATTGTTCATAATACATTTAAACATAAATATTTTAAATTCACTTTGCATTGTTTGTTTGAATCCTCCTATTGATGTTTAGGACTATAATTGATCAGTCTCTTATTGACTTATGTGTATCCCGTGCGGATTGCCTCGATATTGTCTAAAGTCACTAGCATTATAGGCGAAAATGGACGGTGGCTAGTAGTGGAATCGAGGACACTCATTTTGTCCAATTTGAGACTCGTCAGTTGGATGCGCCTGCATCCCAGAGTTGATGTTCAGTCCATCTTTGATTATAATAGTTATTTTAATGTTATTCGTAACAGTAGCAGAGTAGTTTATGTTACATTATCAAGATGTGACTATACTTGTTATCTGTAAACTATCTAAAAGAATGGTATATCTTATCATTGTTGAATGCTTATATATCAATATAAATATTAAAATGAATTTTCCATCAATAACTGGCGTTAAATAAAGGGGCACTGGTAACCAGGGGACACTAGGCTGCCATTTTGTTCAGGTTAGAAGAGCTTCAGCAGTAGGCTCCCCGGATCCCCGAAGAGCAGGTCAAATAAGATCTGTTTAAATTAGCCTCAGATAATATGTTTTTAATCGACTGAGCCAAAATATAACTTCCAACATTTCCAAAAATCTACTTTGTGGTATAAGAGGCAACATTTTATCCGATTTCATAGATGAGTTTCTGTTTCAATCTCTACTTGATTAGCTCACACTAAGCCACCAAATTCTGTTAGCTTTTTGTTAAACTCATACGACTCAATAAAATTAACAAACAGCATATATTCTCTTTCTACCAATGAAGTAATCTTTCCAAAAAGCAACTCATTCATTGATAATAAATTTATCTTTTTTTACAAAGAAAACTCATCAATTTTAAAAATTATCCTAATTACCATATTTAAAAGTAATTTAATGAAAATCAAAAGTTGCTATGATATATGCTGCACCCTAAATCGTGATTCCATAGCAACGGAATGTAGAAGATCAATCTTTTTAAGTTATCCACAATGTATTTAATGTTTATTAAGTATATCGTACACATAACTTTGGGATCATTTTCGTTTCACTTAGTGGGGAGTGATTTCTTGAGGTTATCGTGTAGTTTTTATGAAATAAACAATTTTAAGACCAAACATTGACTATATTTATGTTTTTCATTTGGCATCTTACTCTATGCTACACTGGACAAGTTTATGGAAAACAGCTGTAGATAACTACAGTTGCTTGAAACGAAAGATTTTATTAAAAATTGTATCTAATTTTTTAATATTCATTCATTAAATAAATGAGAAAATAAGACTTTTATTTGTGAAAAGTTTATTCCATTGATCAGCCATATTTGTTTTTTTAGATTTTTTATCCAGTAAAGTTTAAAATAATGATAATAACCCTACTGATTGTTTGGTTAACCAACATTATGGGGGTGATTATATCGCATTATACAATAGGCAATTGTAATTCATAGTAAGGTTGTAAATAACTTATCTACCATGATATTATGTTTTTTTTTTAATAAAAAGTCACAATATCATATTTTAAAGAGATTTTATATAAACGTTTATTGCTTTGTTTTAATAATTCAACTTATGACATAAATTTCATTAATTCAGTATTACTTTGGCCCATGCTACTTATTTTGACAGTTATAAGTAGTATGTAGCAGCATCCAGAAGTGGAATGCCTGATAGCAGAAGATTGAGAAGATTGAATTGAGGAGAACAGAGAGGGAAACAGTCAGCAATTATAATAACAACAGAATTGAAAGAATCATGATGTAAAGGATAAATGAAGGAAGATGTGCAAATAATGTATTTAATGTATGTTTTTTGACATTCTATGAAGGCACTGTGTTATTTTACATAAAATAATAAATTCGTTACACTATCTAAGTTCTCATTCAGTGCACTATAATATTAAGGAATAACTAAACTAAGATTAAAGTGTTTACGCGATATATGGGTGGGGAAATAACTTATTATGCTAGAAATTAAATTGAGAACCCTGTTAAAATCAAACTCATCGTTTCTTTTCTAAGTATTCCGTTATTTCTTTCTTTTTACAATTAGTGTACATCTTTAAAACTATTGAAGGAAATACATGGAGAACTTTTAAAAGCCAAAAATTTGCTGGGTAATAAATAAACTAAAGTGAGAAATGTACATCATTGGAATACCAACGTTAAAAGATTCATTTCTTCAGTGACTCTTAAAGATCTACCATCTAATCCTCCACATGGGTATTTGATTATATGTGTATGGTTCTGATGTTGTATCAACTAATTTCATATACCTCATGGAGCCAGTCACTAGTGAGCATATGATCATTATCAGAAGAGGATTTTATGGAGATTTTAGTAATTTTATATAGTTGAGATCATAAGTCAAATGAAGTTAGACCACCATGGAAAACCTAGAAGCACTGGACGGCCGTTTCGTCCTCTTCTGATAATGATTATATACTCACTAGACATTGGCTCCATGAGGTATTTCCTTGAGTTCTACTAAAAAGCAGTAGCCACTGGAGTTCAACCAGGCCTGTTGGGTAATTTCATATAGTTCAAACTAACAAACACAAAAAAAATTTCTTTCATTCATAATCACATTTACCATTTTAATCTATAAATTTAATTTTAATGAAGAAAAAATGATAATAATAAATCGATAAAAACAGAGAAAAAAAAGCAAAACAATCTTACTGAAAATAGAAAATCATGAGTTATATGTATAGTTTATATTTAAACATCATTTTATCTTATTTCTTCCTTATGTAGAACAGAAATACAACGATACAACATCAATTCTGAGTATTCCTAGTCACGGAAAAACAAGAAGTTGTTTTTTTTTGTCATACACGAGAATCTTTACTGTTTGTATTTTATTTGACATACAGACAAATAAATAATTGAATATATCTATATATGCTTTAATATTGAATGCAAAGAAACAAAGAATGAAACCTCCAAAAGAATGAAACCAATGATTAAAAATGTTTAACAATATATATAGATGGGAAATTTTAAATGCCATCTCTATCGATTTATTTTGTTTTTCTCTTTTTGAATTTTTTTAATAAAAAAAAAAGATTTTCTTGTTTTGCAAAATAACAAATGTCGTTTGTATTACTTTCTTTTTTAAATATTCATTTTAGAAAAAGAAAAAAATTTTATAAGGCATATTCATTCTATTGTGTTCAATAGACAATAAGTTAGAGTATTTTACCTGGGTATTTAAAGTGATTGGAAAGGTATTTTAAAAAATGATCAAGACTTATTCACTATTTTAGAATGTAACGAGTGGTGTTAGCTTGTTTCTGTTTGTTTTCTTTAAAAAAAATCTTGATATTCAATATATGTATGTTCAATAGCTTGAACAGATTAGAGAATAAATGGTAACTACACTAAGATATTATTTAATCATTTATAAGAAATGATTTAACCTTCCATCTGGACAATATAATTATTATTACTTGAAAAAGTCTATAGCGAAAATCATTGATGAAAATTGGTGAAAAAAAGCACATTATAATGTATATTGTAATTACAACAAACTAGCGCTAAGATCAAAGTGGACTTATGCAGTGTATATCAAACACTTGTTTATACAATTGTGATTTATTTATGTAAAAATTTAACGAATAATGTATGGGTAGTTATGTTTATTTAATAACCTGGATAAGATTTTCGTGTTATAAATAGTTTGATCAATAAATTGTCATGGCAACTACTATTATTATTATTAACACTGGTTAATCAGTAAAATTAGTGGCTAATTCCACTAAAGAAGCTCTGTGTAGAATGTTTTAGAGATTAGGAACGTGATGTCATCAGAATATGCAACACAGGATGAACAAATATATATAATATATACGCGAGACCGAAGGCACTGGGTTCGAACCCCGAATGCTCATTGCTGAGTCACTCACCAGGAAAAGATGGCCGTCCAGTGTTTCCATGTTTCCAGTGGTGGTCTAACATTCACCGATTCATGATCTTGATCAAAAAATAATAATTTTTACAGTAGTAATGATATGGAAGTCATTGAAATTTATTTTAATGTTATATATATATATATATATATATATATATCTGAATTAGTGAGATTATTTTTATGACTAAAAATAATGGTTTTTGTGTATTGATAATAAATTTTAATGGAATTGCGTTTTATGAGCCGGGCACTTTCAATATACTTATTAAACATATTAAAAAAGTCATATATGGTAATCAATAAACGAATTGTTGTGTCGTAGATGAAGTAAATTTTTAAAATGGTAACCATATTGTTGAGCATTTTGACAATAAGTGTACAAATAAAAGGGTGAAGTGACAAAAGCAGAAAATTCAGACATCTGTAAAATAAATTGTGCTGACTACAAGTAGTTTTATATCGAACAAAGTGATTTTCCAACTGATCTCAGCCGCTGTGAATACTAATTAGCTGTCAAATATACTTACATGAGATTAAGTCAACTAACCCAAAGGAAGAAAATATATCTAAATTAGTCTACTGAAGCACAAATCTTTCTCGTCTCTCATCTAAAAATCAAATTATTGTAATACGCTTCTTGTTTTTGTTTGAAAATAAATTTCATCAAAAAGCGCGCTTCTATGCTAGTTTATTACTCTTTTCCTGCAAATCTCTTTGACGGATGAGATAAATTTTGAGATACAAAAAAAAACAGCTACAATAACATACCAGTTCCTTTAGGATTCATCCAAGGATAAACAACTACATTTGATTCACTTGAATTACCACTTTGACGTAATGAATGTCCAATACAATCATTATTATTATCATTCAGTGTAGAATGATCATTACTGTTGTTAATATTGTCCAAAGATGAATTCATTAACATATTAGTAGAACTGTTCAAATATGATTGATTCTCTGAATTCACTAATGATCGAAATACTGTACTACCAAATGATGATGATCCATTTAGCAAGGCATGATAATTTGTATCATGTAATGTTAAGTTTCCATTTAGTTTCATTGAATCATTCAAAGTTAACTGATTATTCATTGTACGTGAATTAAAATTCAATGTATTTGTTAAAGAATATGGATTTTGTGTGTTGATAGTTGAGATGTCATATGGATGAGAACGTGAATCATTACCATTATTAGTAGTATTGTTATTGTTACTATCGTTAGTAGTATTCAATTGAAATGAATTATTATTTGGATGACGAGTTATTAATGAATTTGATTGAATTGTTGGATGCATGAAATTAGTTCCATTGAAAGGATTTAATAAACCGTTTGGATATGATTTCAGTTGATTTGAAGTAGGATATTTTTGTTCTGTACCAGAGTATATAAGTCGTTGTTGGTCATCATATGGTAAATTTAAATTGTTACCATTATTGTTATTATTACCGTTATTACTTCCATTAGTATTATTAGTAGTATTTGTAATAGTAGAACCATTATATTTTAATTCATTAGACATAAAAAAATTCTTCCCTGTAAACGATTCAAGTGAGTTAATATCACGATGAATTAACTTGGAACTATTATTTAACTGCTCCACAGTTAAATTTGGATTTAAATTGTTAATAGATGAATTACTATTATTATTGACATTGTTGGCACCTCCAAGTTGACTAACAAGAGCAGCGGCTGCATTCGCTGCTAACAGATAATCTAATTCTTTTGGTCCATTTCGTCCATATACATTGGAGGCAGTGGAAGAGATCAAATCATTTGACTGTCGAATTAAATTTATATCTGAATAAAAATGTTGATTTATTATTCCTGTATTCATACTACTATTATTAATATTATTGTTTAGACTTGTAACTGTCGGTGATGGTGAAGAACCAACTGGTGAATGCTCATTTGTTGCAGCACAATTAAGACGCAAACGTGTTGGCTTAGATGATATTTCTTCATTATGTGTTATGGTTATTGTATTTGTAACAGTTGGTGACTGAACTGTGGCATATCCTACTTTCATATTACAATCAAGATTAGTTTGTCCCCAATCTTGATTACCAATTTTATTACGTCTTAGGCCTAATTGTCTTGACAATGGAAAATTACGATGTTCTTCAGGTGATGAATTGGAATTATTGATTACATCAGAACAATTTGTTGAATCATTATTACTTTTATTACTATTTGATGCTGTCGGTGATATAATTGACGGTAAATGTAATTCATGTAAATTTTGTAATTGCGTCAGTTGTGTTTGCTGTTGTTGTTGATGAGAATGATGAGAAGGAGGAGGATAATGATGTTGTGGTTGCGATGATTGTTGTTGATGATGTTGATGATGATGGGTTAACTGTTGATTCTGTGAATAATTTGTTAATTGTGAATTAAGAACTGGACCATTAACAAGACGTGTATCAACTCGTGTACCATAATAATTTGGTTGCATTGTTAACATAGCTTACAGATGAAAATGATTAATAGAAATGTTTGTTTGTTATTTAACTAAACGATGATTGATAGTACAATGAAATTAATTGTCAATAATGATTATAATTATTTGTATATAATATATCGATAGTATTGGATTCCTCTAATAATGACAAAAAAATCCAGGCAATGAATTACCAATTGAGTAATCACGTGTATACAACTTTATGATATTGAACGTTATAATATAAACTTTAGATTTGAATAATAGTCTAACACTAATGATAATGATAGCTATAAAAATTATAATGATAATTATTTAGTGTATGTTTATGGTCTAATTGGTTGGAAACTCTACAAATCAGATTTTTAATGTGACTAAATAAACTCTATAAGCGCTGTTTATGTTTGTATATAAATATGTGTGTAACTATGTCTATTGGTATCTGTTTTCTTATCTATTAGTCTGTATGTGTGTGTATGCGTAAATCATTCCTGATGCCAAGATCACTTTTTAAAAAAAAACCAGTGAGTGAAATAATAATCTAGCTTCTTCCCTAGTAGAAATTAATATTTCGCACAATTAACCAATCACATTGTCGATAGATTAAACCGTCTTTTACTCTCATCTGATTGGTTAAATAGAAGTTACCTTTTTTTAAACTTAACAGGTAAGGAAACAAAATAGGTTAGTCTGATGAATACAGTAGATATAATATTTATTTTATTTTAAGAAGACTAAATTTCACACATGTCTGTAAAACAATGTTTAAATAAAAATACATCATTAATATAGTGAACAGAGAAGAAAAAAAACAATTGCAGGGGTTATTACTAGTTATTGATTTTAAGCCGCCAAATACTTTTGATAAGCGGTATACTTCAAAGTTGAGAAACTTAAAGGTCATAGAATCATGAAATCTCTTATTTTTGGTAGGCAAAAAATAATTGCATTTGCTCGTATATATATAAATGCATACACAAACACACCCGTACAAAGAAGCATGTACATAGGATGATAGCATCAAAATATGGGTCGGCAATATACAAACTGTCAGAAATTTGAAATAATAAATTTATGGGTTAGGAATTTTGAAGCGAAATCATTTTTTTCTGAATTATTGAGTAAATACCATGGGAAATGAATTGTTTCGTTTAGTTTCTTTTCTGTTGGTAATTTCGAATTTTGAACAATCATTGTGCTAAGCTGTTGTGGTTGCTCTAATTCCATGCATTAAGATGGAACTTTACATTTTTCATCTATACATGTTCTCTAAAGTGTTTACCTAATTTTATTCTAATTTCATTGCGTTATTGATATACCGGAAACAAAAAATCATCCGTATTATTAGATAAAAGATTACCATTTCTTATAAGGAAGAAATCTGGGTTGATAGTTTCCGAACAAGTTTTATCTTTTATTATAAATATTGCAAGCTTTGTTTATAATTATCGTAACATTTAACATTAAATTGAATTGATCAGGATTATTTTTTTCTGTGTAATCATTTTTTGAATTAAGGAACAAATGAAGCATAAACTACTGAACAGAGCGCAATTTTTTAAAAGGGCATCATCTCATAGTTCATTATATTACTGAAAATAAATCCTCTCTCTTTGTGACCATGATTGCATAGGTCCAATAAATTACAGAATGTTAGTTTTTTGAAATGTTTAGTCGAAACATGACTCAAGTAGCCATAGATCTTAAAAACAAAGCTAAAAAGTACAAAGATCTATAAATTTTCACAAGTAAATATCTAAAATTCATATATATTGGTTGCTTGAATCCAACCATTTATGTTTAAGACTGCAAATGATCAGTCTCTTTTGGCATACTTTCATCTTGTACGGATTATCTCGATGCAGGAATGCAGATACATCAAACAAATGAGTTCCAAACAGAACGAAACATGTGTTCTGAATTACACTGCTAAACACCATCCGTCTCTGCTTAAATATCTAAAAATTTTAAAAGAAATACAAGTTTGAACTCTGATGATTACGTTATAGCAATAGCTAACTGTAGTTAGAAATGAGGATTGTTGAAATTGGATCGAATAATCTAAAGTGATGACATGAAAACTTGAAGACCATAAGCAAGAAATAATGGACAAGTGGATGATATCTAAAATTGAGTGTTGTGGATCAGTTCATTATTTCTGGACCACTTAACGGTATCTGAATAAAGATGGGTAGTATGCACTAAATGTGAAAGCTTTCCACAAAATCTACCTTCTTTTTCAAATTACTTAAGTTTGTTAAGTGTGTTAGAAACCACCCACTAGTCAATGCATTAGTGTGTGAATCGTATCAAATTTGTGAAGTATTTCTGAATCAACTATCGGTGTGCTTTAAAGAATTCTAACCTACATTTGAATATTATTCGTAATTTTTTGCCAGCAGTTCTTCACTATCCTGAAATAAAGTAATTGTCACCTTGATCTTTAAAAAAAGAGAGTGTACATCATCTGTACAACGACTATAGGGGGATAAGTCTACATTCGATTGTATCCAAACTACTAGCTTCGGTCATGTACCTCGAATTGTTCAAATCTATAAGTGGTTGACTTGCTAGGGAAAGGCTGCTTTTCGTTCAGGTCATAAATACATTGATCATACTTTCAGACCTCGCTAAATGTTAGAGAACTGTCATATTTATTAAAGATCAATAGTCGTTGTTCCCCTTGACTCTCGAATAGCCTTTGATTTGTCGGACAGTACTGTTTTCTGAGACCGTCTGTTGAAGATGAATGTGCACGAAAAGTTCATCAGCAACTTGAAATCTCCATATACAGACACGTAAGGCATAATGGAGCATCAAATCGATCCCCCCAATGTCTCACTGCAGCAGTGGAGTGAAGCTGAGTTGCTTAGTCTTACCAGTTCTCTTCAACCTAGCGATCGATAACGTTCTGGAAAAAGTTCATATGGAAGTAGGTAAAGGTGGTGTGGACCTGTTACCTGGAGAATGACTTTTCGATCTTGTATATGTGATGATACTTGAGCTATGCAATCCTTACTTAATCAGTCGATAATCAATATCTTCAGGTGTAACATGCATTTTGAACTTTCTAGATGTGAAGTACTTTTACAAGATTAGCAGGAGCCTGTAGCTGCGCTCACTCGTTTTGATGAGACGTTAGAATTAGAAAAGAAGTTCTCTTATATTGATAGCCATATGAATGTTGGTGGTGTGGTGCCAGGTGAAATCAATATGTGTTTAGTGAAAGTCAGAGCAGCTTATGTCAATCTGGGTCATCTTCGTTGTCTTCATGATGTTAATATGGCTGTAAAAGGTCGAATTTACAAAACGTCAGTAATAGCGATTTCGCTCTGAGCTTATGAAACCTGACCTCTCCTAGTTGAGGATGTTCAGAAACTCTCTGAGTACGACTTCCACAGTCTCCTTAGGATTATTGAAATTCAGTGGCAACATCATGTTATTAATACAGAGTTTCGGCAATGTGTGTTCGGACACAGTGGTAATAGTTCAGTTTGTATCTTTACCTTGAAACACCAACGTTGATGTCTTGGGTATATCCTACGAATATCGTCTTAGTGAATTCAAAATTGTACATTATTTGCCAGCGCTGGAACTAGTTGGAAGAGACTGAGAGGTGGTCAGTTTAATGAACGTGATCGGAGTATGAAGAAAAGCTGTATAGGGCTGATATCTATCTGTCCCTCATGGATTCCTGATTGCGTGCCTAAGGATGCTGAAACCTAGTGGCTTGAGATGTTACCAGACATGACTCGGAATATAATAAAGTGGCAGTCGTGCCATAGCTTTTGTTTTACGCACTTCGTAAAGGTAAGCAGAACTCTCTTAATTAAAATAAGTTTTCAGAAGGGATTTTGTGGAGATTTCAGTATTTTTCAAAGTTGAAATCATGAGTCAATTGAAGGTAGACCATCATGGAAAACCTGGAAGCACTGGACGGCCGTTTCGTCCTATTATGGGACTCCTCAGCAGTGCGCATCCACGATCCCGCTCTCGCGAGATTCGAACTCAGGACCTATCAGTCTCGAGCCAGAGCCCTTAACCGATAGACCACTGAGCCGGCATCCAACTGAGGAATCGCATAATAGGACGAAAGGGTCGTCCAGTGCTTCGAGGTTTTCGATGGTGGTCTAGCTTCAATCGACTCATGATTTCAACTTTGTAAAATAAGTTTTCCTGTTTATATTTCTATTAGTATTATTTCAATTACTACAATCTATTCTTTTTCAAGTACTTTTATCCACTTATTTGTAATTATATCTCCCTCCTTCCTACTTTTATCTCGTGACAATTTCATTTCTATATCTGTATAGTGAACATTCAATTTTAGTATTAAATTCTACCCGTAATTATATCCAATTAATAAAGGTTTATTTTTAAACGGTCAGTTTTTGATATAAATTTTACACAGTTACAAAAAAGGGTATTTCCATCATAAGGTAATATTAGTAAAAGAGTCAATCAAAATTTTGAAAGTTAGTAATATTTTAACTTTGATTAACACCATTAAGCATTACGTATTCATGATCTTAAGTACGATTGTACATAGATAGTTGATTAGGTTTATAATGGACTTACCAGGAAAATTCTAGTGAGAATTTATCATATGTAAGTTTAGAGAAGTCAGAAGAGATAATAACTTCTCAAACATGGAGATAACAAAATGATAAAAACTTGAAATATGGGTAGTTGGTTTCATACTTACTGGTATAATTCTCAGTGCAAACAATAAGGTGAGGCGGTCTGTCTGAATATCTGGGCTACCTGTTCCTACCATCTAGATATTTCAACAAGTTATCTTTATTACTTGTTTTAAAGCTTTATAATGTCTATTATTCTCATTACCCATTCAGGAGCGTATATATTATGTTTACAACTTATGGCTTTACAAGGTACTAAAAAGTACAATCAGAGACATCGTAGTGCCTGGCAATGTGAATTGAAAAAAATGAACATTAATCACATGTCGATTCCTGAACCGCTAACATCTAACTGGAGATCACTCAATATCTATCGACAGGACCAATCAAGAAATAAGAAAAGGAAACTTGAATATTGAATAAAGCCATTATTATTATTATTATTATTATTATTATTATTATTATTATTATTATTATTATAAAGTATATGTTCTTTCTAATAATGAGTTGTGAATGTACACAGTTCGGAAATATTATACTTAAACGAAATAACTGTTTAGCCTTCTATGGTCTTCAGTGGTTTTCTGATTGTTGTTAGCTCTATGTTATTAGGTTTTCAAAGAAGTTTTAGTAACATAAACTGACTTTGGGTAAATAACCATTTAAAATCCACGAAGAAATTTGGTAACAGTGGAACTAAATGGTGGTTGAACAATATGGTGAATTGACTGGATTTATAAATATAAACAACTGGATACCAATTCAGTGGTCTAAAAGTTAAGCATTTGTAGTTGAATCTGAAGGTCCCTTGGTCAGACTTTAAGTAAGGCTGTGGAGTCCTATACTGGAATAAGACAGTCTCTATATTCTTTCCTGATACTCATCCGTCATCTGATTAAATTGAGCTCATGATAAAGAACTTCAAAATCAACGACCTTCACAACACTCCTAAATAAAAGGTTAATACTTGTATTTCCATTTCATATCATAAAAACCTTTATCTAACAAAAAATTTTTCTTGTTTTCAATAGTCAAATGAAAATTAATTTTAATGTACGATGAAAATATTAGTATTGTAGTCTCAAACAGGTGGCTAGCATGAATGCCTAAGATACCTGTGTAGTGAACGAGAACACCAGTGGAGACAACTAAAAAAATCTGAGTGCCATTCAGTAAATACTCATCAATTGTCTCAAACTTTATTGTTCCTTCACTTCCATATCAATCATTCTCTGTTCCCGTTCTCTTCTTTTTGATTTTCTCAAACTTATGCCTCCAGGCATTCACAATCTAAGTGTTTCGTATATTTTCAGTTAGTTTTAATTTTAATGGTTATTTTCATGAGTTGATTTAAGTTATAAAACTATGGAAAACCCAAAATTACTAAACGGCCGTTCCGTCCCAGTACAGAAATGTCAACAACGCACATATATGATCTCACACAAAAGGGATTCGAACTCAGGACATTCGGTATCGCTCACGAAAACTTAAAATCTAGACCATTGAGCCAGTATCCAACGGTGTTAATGTCTACCTTCAAATGATCTATGATGTTGCACAACCCTTCATCCGTTGTCTGAGATGGATAACTGTCTCACATCCAACACGAATTGGATACCACAGATTTTAAGTTTTCGTGAGCGATCCGAATGTCCTGAGTTCGAATCCCTTTTGTGCGAGATCGTGCAAGTGCACTGTTGACGATTTCCATGCTAGGATGAAACAGTCGTCCGGTTTCGATTCTGTTTATAAACTATATTTTTATTATTTTGAACTATTATTCTTTTTCAAAGTGTCAAATCACATTCATATGTGATGATTTGGTCAGTTAACACTGAAGACATCCAATTTAAACAACATATTCATAAATGATAAAAAAATTTTTTCGTTTTACTTAAACGATTAAAAATCACATAAATTCATCAATTTATCCTTCAGAGAATTTATGGTTTAAACCGATAAATGTCATTTTGAAAATTTGTTACTATGCATTGAAACTTTAGACAAAAATATGTAATAATATTAGTCGGAATATCAAATAACATTAAGTGGTTATAAATTTTCAATGGTTTAAAAACATTAGTAAATGATATCATTTTCAGTTACACAATATAGTCATATGTGAATCATCATTCATACTTTTCAAAACTGTCTATGGGAAATGATATTCAATTGAATAGTTAACTCATCAACTGCTGATCATGCAATGTTGTTCTTTTTGTCCATGAAAATCAATCCTACATATTATTGATGATGTTAAACACTTCAAACCCCCAATCCTATCGTTGTATATTATACATGACAGATAAATAGATACCATCCTAAGATCTTAACTCTAAACACTTAGTCCTAAAACATACCTTAATCATATGGAATAAGATTTTATGGAAGAACTAATCAAAGAATGCTACTTGGATTCCAATCATATAGCTATAGAGCGTATTTGGATTACATCCGATGTCAGTTCGCAGTAAGAACCCTAGCTCTAAGCCCCCTATCCCTACACTGAATACTTAACTGTAACCAGGAACAGTGTGAGGACACCCATAAATCTATTTGGGTCCTTCTGGAGCTTCAAAAGAACAAATAATTTGTAAGTATACAGATGTTTGTTTATCCGTGATTCTTTAATTTACAGACAGAGTAACTTGTAGATTTATTAAATTTACAAAATATGTTTACCCTTTGTAATATTATCGTTTATTTTTCTCATAAATTATTCATTTACAAAGAGTATTTTCGGATCGGCTAATAACTGGTTGAAAAGTCATCGCAATAGTTTTAATCGCATCCCTATACTAAATTATACTATCACCAAATTTTGGCAATACTTTGAAATGTACTCCTTGTATCTTGAATTAAATTACTCAGTTTAGTTTTACATTGTATTTATCATTTTCTCTAGAGTTTTTTTAAAAGTTTAATTTGATAACCACGACTGTATTGAATGATTTCATTAATAATCAACTAGTTGATCACCATATCTATTTCGAATTACTTAGAGTAGAAATAAAAATATATTCTCATAGTTGAAATCATGAGTTAGTTGAAAACCTGGAAAACCTGGAAGTACTGGACGGCCATTCCGTCCTATTAAGGGACTCCTCAGCAGTGCAAATCCACGGTCCCGACTCGCGAGATTAGAAGCCAGGACCTAGCAGTTTTGCTCCAGAGCACTTAACCACTAGACCACTGAGCTGGCATCCAACGGTGTTAATGTCTAACTTCAACCAATCCACGAAATTGAGCAACCATTCACCAATGTCTTTAGTGAGTTGATATCTCCCAACAGACGTGGTTGAACTCCACTGGTCACCGCTTCCCACTAGAACTCCAGGAAATATTTCTTGAAGTCAGTCACTAGTGAGTATATGATTATAATCAGATAAAAATATACAGTTATGTAGCTAGTTTAATGATGTGGTTTAACATAATATTTGGTTGAATGAGTTAAGTCAAATGTGTTGAGTTGAGAAAGTTGTGGATAAACGCCTTAGCTACTCCATGGGTGATCTTTACTACGAAACAGGTTTTCGATTGAAAACCAGTATTTTCAGATTCAACTAATCATTTGAAGATATTACATTGAGCATACAGCTGGACAGATTCATCATTAAGTTTCCAAGCATCACATTCAATAGATAGACAAGAATATTGTGAAAATGGATCTTTTCATGTTTATTTAATATTGAACATGAAACGAATGCGTTAGTATTCTTTAGAATTATCTGCCATTCGGTCTGTTGAATATTTGGAGATCTATCCTGTTCTACTTTTGGATTATCAACTTGAATATATACTTGTGAAACCTGAAAAGAATTTATTGAAATGGATATTCTTTGTTCATATTGTTGTCTTAATATGATGGGAGTTTTTAAACAGTTCAAAGTAACCTGTTAACCTGTTCTTTTACTCCATTTATTAATTACTGATTTGCAGTCTGTTTTCTCCCTTCACAATTTTGTTCTGCATAATTAGTTTATTGACTGAACAAAACACTTTAGTTTTTTTTTAAACATTAGTTATGAAATCTGTATGTGATATTCATTAGAGAGATTGATATTTTTTCAAATTTTCATTGAAAACTAGAGAGCGCTAAGCAGATATTTTGTGTTAGTATGCGACTCATCGGCAAAATAATCAAGGAGTCCCCATCATGAATTGTACCTAGAACTTTTAGATCTCAAGGCCAAGGTCTGATCTTTAGGTTTTCGGATATCCAATCATTGACATTTTCAACTTCGATGAATTCACAACAGAGTGTTAAAATCATCAAAATACCATTTATTAGAATTGTTTCATTCTCAATATGTATGGACTCCATCAGTCATGACTTTATACAGGTACTCTATGTCTGAAATTGTGTGATATCAAGACGCATTTTAACTAATCAGTATGTCAGCTAAATTACTTTTTTCGAAGGATACATTCTTATCAATAAAAATATGTTTTAGATTTTACCAAAAAAATGTGTCATATTATAAGAATAAGAGTACACAATGTGATGAATTTAGAAGCGAATATCATTGATGAGTATTGAAAGTGTTCAATTTCAAACATAAGAAATTTCCTTCAAGATTCTCGAAACATAATGACTTCAGATAGATTATGAACATTTGTTTTCATTATTTTCTGTAATCATTTGAAAATAAATTTTTGTTGTTGAAAAAACGTACATAAAATGTTTACTAAAAAACTATCATCACTAGTTGATTCTAGAATCTTTCTCCATTCACAAGTCACTAAGAAATTATAATCAGTATCCCAAGAAGAAGTTATAGAATTGCTAGATGACTTGTAGTTACTTCAATAGATCTTTGATTAAGTACGCCAAACTTTGATTTTAATTAATTAATTTTTCTTTTTTATTATACACTTTTTTACTCGGTAGAAGCTCATGAAGTTTCAAATAGTTGTTCATTGAGGAGCATAAAATTCTCTTCTTAAATATTATATTAATTTTTAATAATTTTCCAGGTGATATTGATCTATACTAAAATAAAAATTGTATATAAAACCCTAGAAACCATTTAAAGAATAATGAACTTTGATATCACTTGTCATTATCTATTCGACCTTATTTTAAAGGATTTAAAGAAAAGTCACATACATGAAACAGGGAATCGTTTACGGTATATATCTATTTATTTAGATAAAAATGAAGTGTTTATGTAATCAACTCAATATAATTGATAAATGAACTAGTAAGAATCTACACATACCATATTCACGTACATGTACACATACTTGAAGAAAGAAACCTTTAAATATTATAATTTCTCATTCTCTGTTTAAATAACCTTTTGAGATGATCATTCTATCTTTGCTCACTTGCTCTCTCTTTCGCTCGCTCGCTCGCTCATTCTCGTCCACACAATCCTCTCTTTAGAATCAAAATAACTCTGAATTAAACTAGTTGTCTTATCTCTTATTACCATCTTTTTATTTATTCAATTTTTGATATTCGTGATCTTTTCGCATTAATCAAAGTTTTCTGTTTTCTTTTTAAAGAAATAATGAGATGAGAAAGGAGTTAATTTAAACAACTCTGTTGATCATGTGACATTGATAACAAATAAATAGGTGAATTATTTCTTGTTTTAATTTGTAACTGTTATTCTTTTCATTGAAATTTAAGCAAGTTATTTCATGGTTGGAAAAAATCAATTACATTTAATTATAGAATAAATATTCAATGTAATTTGATTATTTTATATTTTTATTAAAAGAAAAAAAAATATTTTTACTGTTGAATTCACTTGGTATTATTTGTTTGAATCTTCATTGATTACAATTGATCAGTCTCTTATTGGCATATGTGCATACTGTGCGTATTGTATCAATATAGCCTTAATACCAAGTGAATTCAAACTTCACCGCATTGCACAAGCAAGTGGTTATCAGGACTCAGTAGCTGAGTGGATAACGTGATGGCGTTTGAAGTGAAAGGTACTGGGTTCGAATCCTAGAGTGAACATCAACTCTGAAATGCAGGTACATCCAGCTGACGAAACCCAAATAGGACGAAACATGCGTCCTGGACTTCATTGCTAACCACTATTCATTTTTGCTCATAATTTTTACTGTTTGTTTTTATGTAAAATTATTATGATTTTACGTTGACATGACAGACTGATATTAGCCAGGTAACCATTGAAAACTGATGAATATTGAATAGTAGTGAGCTCCACAAGAGTATGAAATCACAACTCCATCATGACTATGAGATCTCTAAGTGAATGCTTAACATTTATACCTTTGAACTGAAATCCAGTAATATACTTGTCTAACTCTAATCATTCCGCGATAGTGAACGACAGTCTTCTATTGTCTGTGATGGATAGTTGTATTACATCCGACATAAGTGAACTGTAATAATCACAACTTTTTATTAGAACTCCTGGAATTACCTTTCGAAATTAGTTACTACTGAGGATATTATTATTATTATTATTATTATAAGTGGTTTGAGGAGATCGTTAAATTTTCATAACCTACATCACTAACTAATCCTAGATTTACAATCAATGTATTTAATTACATTATGACTTGTTCTTACGTGATTTTATGATTTTACCTAATTTCAGTACAAATTACATCACTCATTAACATTAGCAATGGAATCACTGAATATCAAAAAGTAATGGACATTCGTCTTGTCTTACTCATTAGGATTTTACCACAGTGAACGTATATGACTTCATAAGGAAATAAAATCATTATTCTCTGATTACACATCATACATAATATCATGAAATCATGTGTTAAAATTCAACAACTGATACATTTGTCTGAGAGTAAGATACTCATCTCATAGTATTAGTGTATTAATACACTTCATTACCAATCCATTTGGTTGTATTGGTCATAGATTCTCAAGAATTTTGAAGTAATCTATATGGCATCGTAAAGACTGCTGAAAAATAAGATGAAACAATTATTCATTGCTTTCATGTACGGATGTTATGCCAATTGACATGTTGTAATAAAAACGATTTTTTCTATTGCTAAATATTAGGGGAATTATGAAATAATGAAGTAATTTTTCTATTATCAGAATGGGGGTTTGTAGAGATTGTAGCAATTTAATAATTAAATTCATGAGTAGACTTAAGCTAGAAAACCATGGAAAACTTGGAATAACCGGAAGAACGTTTTGCCCTAGTATGGGAGTTTCAATAGTGCACATGCACGATCTCGCACAAAAGGGACTCGAACTCAGGACATTCTGTATCGCGCACAAAAACTTGAAATCTAGACCATTGAGCCTGCATTCAATAGTGTTAACATCTAACTTCAATTGATCCATGATATTACGCAACCCTTCATCCATTGTCTGAGGTGGATAACTATGTTTTAAAAGTAATAATGAATGGAAAATGGATAGAAATGAATTGAACTTATTGCAAATAACCACTGACTCGGTTAAAACAAATAGTGATGTGTTGAAATATAGGTGTACCGAATCCCAAACTAGTAATTAATTGATTAGTGTCTAGAAAATTCTTATCATTTCTAAGATGAGATCAATTTATCTAGTTTTTTTGGATAAAAGTTCTTTCTTTAAAAGATAACCTTGATGACAATTTTCCT